AAAGGGCTCGTTATCTTTTCCTGTTAACACCTGTCTGGGTGTCAGTGCTCTGGGACAGTTGTACCCGATTAGGAGTCCGACATCACAGCTGAGGAGAGGTGGCATGTTATCTGTGATTGCTGTTAAGTGAGACCATTGCTTTGCTGTGTCATGAGTGGGAATATGATCACGATTCGCAGGAATACAGTCTCTTGTGTAACCATGAGGAAGGTCGATGTGTAAGCATGAATTAAAGCCCAATTAGAGTCCAGACACTCTTTCACTCGTCGTGATCATGTTCTTTCCAAGCATGGTGGTAAGTTTCAGTTTCACAGGATAGGTGTCGGCTTGTAGTTCATTGCTTACCTCTTGGTCTATGAAGGTGCTGTCGCTTTGAGTATCTAATAATGCATAGACAAGCTGTTCTTTGGATGGGTTTTTAGCTGAGGACACCCACACAGGAACGATCATGGAAGTGCTGCCTGTCTGACCGCCTCCAGTGACGTTGAGTGCCGTAGCTGCTTTGGTTTCATTTTCACTATTAAGAGCTGTGTTCACAGTGAAAACAGATCTTTCTTGATTTTCACGTCTTCTGAAGTTCTCATCGTGGAGACAGGTAGGGTGTCTTCTCTGACATACATCACAAGTGTGGCGGTGACGACATTCCTTTGCACCGTGACCTGGCTTCATGCAGCCGTAACACAGCTTATTATCTTTTACATACGTTCGTCGATCCTCCAGGGACCTTTCCATGAAGGTTGTACACTTGGGCAGTTGATGCTTGTCATCTTTGCACCACATGCAGGGGGGCCTTGGTTTTTCACTGTTTATGGCAGTTTGCGTGCTGAAGACATTTGCTTTATTTCCCCTTGTTTCCTTAATGCCTCTTTTGTCATATGAGTTGGATGAGTAGAGAGCATGTAGAGAAGTGACTGGGTTGCATGCTATCTCTGACTCTAATGACACAAAGTGAGTGAAATCCTCAAAGGTGGGAAACTCTTTACCTTCCATGAGAGCGATTGTAACCTGGCGATTCCAACGTGCTGCTAGCCAATCAGGAATTTTCTGGATTAGCTTTTGGTTTTCTTCGCAGTCATTACGAATTTCTAGACCCTTCACATGAGGCATGCTTTGCCGTGTTGATAGAAATCAACACGTAATGAAATAAGACCCCACGGTTTGATGATTGATAGGTGTGTGGGCTGTCTTTCATTTTGACACACAGAACAATGGGGGCTATCCACCCTTATCCACAATGTAAAGTAATTCACACAGCCTCTTCCCTCTTCTCTCTGTGAGGAGCAGCAGGTTCAGCTTTCAGAACAAAGTAACAAAAAACTAAAATGGCATTCATTTTTTTAAATATGTCGTGTAGTAATAGATTTATTTATTTTTCTTTTCAAGAGAGTACCAGAATGTGTATTGTATGTTAGTATTTAAAAAAATCTCCTGGGGGACAATCCCCCAGACCCCCCTGCAGGGGTTGGGTTTTCAGCATGTCAACTCTTTCACTTGTGGGTAAATTGCAGGATTGGCTCCAGGTCGCCCTTTTTATTTACTACAAGACAAATGTGCCTTTTTATTTCATACAGTTCAATTTGGATTGAGACAGGGAAATCATCTAAACCTCACGCGTGGCGTTTCACTGTCGGGGGGAGCGTGTATGTAATTACATTGCAAATACTGATTTGAGCCCCACCACTGTATGGGTTAGCCCTACCATAGATTACGCAACAAAAATACTCTGGAGCCACAACTGCCGACCCGTATTGCGCATGCGCAGATCTAAGATCCAGTAGAAATGATAAAAAAGTAAAAGTCTGCTGCTTATTGTTCTACTTGGCCAAAATAGAGTCAAAGAGTATATGAGAGTGAGAGTGTGTTAATTAATATATTTGGAAGTTTGGAGGAAGTCTGTAGATTTGTTTGTGTGTGTGTTTCATGTATAGGCCTCACGGTAATTAATTTTGTTGGATACATTTTCCCGGAAATTATTGCGATAAACGATAATATTGTCGGCACCGTTGTATGACCATTTTAGACCACTGACATAATGATAATATATAATAATAATTCAAGTACATCCTTTCAAACTGCTAGTCAGATCCTCATGTAAATGGCAATTTATCGAGGTCAGAAAAGTTATCGAGTTCATTTTTATTTATCGTACGATAAGTCAATTAATTGCTTATCGCGACAGGCACACAATAAAACAGTGGAAACAAACATGTTTGACTTTCATTAGTGAATGAAACTGTGTGCCCATTATAGTCTGTGTCCATTATTGTGTATTTGTATATATTGTATATATATCCTATATATATGCTAAGGTCCCGCTGCTGACACGAGAGCAGTCATTTTGTGCGCATATGTGTAATTAAACCGAATTAAACCCATGATATCAAAATCTCACTCCAGCCAGGTACCCAAAGTTGGCAACCCTGCGTTACATAGAAGATATTACTTTCTCCATCAAGTTATTTCTAATGCCCCCCCACAACTTCCTGTCAAACACGTAATCTCTCCTTCAAAATAAAAGCATACAAATGAAACAGGTAGTTAACCTAAATTACATTCTAAGATATATATAAAACTGCAACGAAAGCAACAAAACCAATGCAACATCCCCTTCAGTCTCACATAACACAAATCGGGTTATAACATGACACCTCTCCTTTAAATCAAATGTTGGAAGTGCTAAACATTGCCAGACCAAAACAAATGTTCTTTACAATCTCCAGAAGATGTTGGTAGGGAGGGATAATGGTCTGTTTTTAAAACGCTTTATAGCAAGTGAAGACCATCACACTAAAGGTTTGTAAACATTTAATTGAGCCACCACATTACCACAAATAATTCCCACCTTGTGCAAAATGAAGATGAACATTAGGCAAAAAAGACCATAAGCTTGTGTGGATATTATGGTATAAAACACAATTTATTCATTTCAGGGGAGACTTATTGCTTTGTGTCTCGTTTTACTTTTCATTCACAACTGATCGTCGCACTGACTCGCTCCTCTGCTGCCCTCCAGGGGCCACAAGGCACAACAGGTACTTTTACATTACAGCATGTAGCTCCAAACCACAAAAGTATTTTCTTCAGAAAATGCACTTCACTAAAGCTCTAAACATGGCACATGAACCTGTCACCGCAACACAAATATAAACTATATACAATCAAATCAGGAAAATAGTAGCTACAATATGAATGCTCTACAGTGAGCAGAGATGTATTTTTATGTGTGGGCATAATGTACAGGGTAATAGTCAAATGACTGCCACAAGGCCTTTCTATGACACTGAATAGGAACAGACCACAGCTCTGATTTAGTAGATCTTGCTGACCAACAATTGCTGAATAGGTTTAACAAAAATAATATTTAAAATTAGACTATGTTTCTCAGAATAAAGAAAAATGATGTGCCTCATGTAAAAAAATTCTGCATTCCAGACTGACTCTTTTCACTTTTTTAATGTTACACCAGCAAACAATTGTACCCAGATGCTAAATTACTACTAAGCTACATTTGAAACATTCAGCACTTTTCTATAACTTAGAGGCTGCACTGTCTGCTGTTCAGCAACAGTTAAGGAGACTGGCTTTAAAGGGGAGATGTGCTGTCAAAGTGTATGAATAATGCATTGTTTCCTTGTTAATAAGTGAACCATTATGTTGCATATATCACAAACACAAAAAGGACTTTCATACACAGTATGTGTGCATCTGTGTCTTGTGGCCAAAGGCACGTTAACAGGTGAACAGTGACCTGGTTCAATAAGATGTCATATCTCAGTTGCTAAACACAAGCTATGCCAGATGCACAAACTGAGTGATAAGAATAATAATGGAAATCATTCCATTTGTGATCAAAACCATAGTTGGTGTGGACAGTCTTCATTTCCATCATTGTTGGGCTCTCCTGAACTCTAAGAGACAAAGATAATGAACCCTAAATGGTTCCTGATTGCATGGCGATCAGTGTGAGTGTGAATCTTGTTCTCCCTTAGCAGGTGCATGCACTATATGAATGTGTGTATTCTGCTGTTCAACTTGACTTATGTCAAAGTAATTTGAGGGGTCACAAGAGTGGAAAAGTGCTATATAAATGCTGCCAATTTACCATATACACTATTTCTATCTCATTCCCTCCTTCCTTTCCATGATCTTTGAACTGAAGCTGATACTCTAGTTTTGGGTTATTTCCAGAGTTTAAACTTGTAATACTGTTGTCCAGGGTGTGGTCCGTTTGCATTAGTCAACAATACACAGAAGGATTGGGCACTCGTTTCACCCGGTTATTTTCCAGTACCTCTTCAATCAAATAACAAAAGGAAAAACCCAAGAAGTTTGACTTTAAAAAAAAAAAAAAGAACATATATATATATATATGGAATAATGTAGATTGTTTTTGTTTCCCAACAAACCAATAATCATTCATTTTATATGAATCGCATTGAAATCTGAGACGCAGGTGATGATAAACATGTCTGTAACCATTCACCATGCTGCCACTTTGAGTTTCACGCCATGTGAAAGATAAACATAGTGTCCCTGTCCATTAAACACCTGTTGTTCCCATAACCAGAACATTTGTGATGGTACTTTTCCCAATGAATCATGTCGCTAAAGAGGCCAAGACAGGCTCATCACTTTGAATCAAATCTGTGCAAAAGTTAATGTTGATTGAACAAAATAACACAAACAATAACCAAAGCAGGACTATACGGTCAACAGAAAAGAGCAAGTTCAGCCCGTTCGTCATCCACACACCAGGTGCCGTAAATACCTGACCACATCCATGTGATAATTGAATGATATACAACTGTGTGTGGTTAAAACAATAAGTATAATACCAGGAATAATAAGCAACAGCAAAAATGTAATAGTACATCAATATTATTTACTAAATGTATTTATGATATTTTTTAAAAGGTGTAGAAATAATTCCTTTGATTAACCCCTGGAGCGACCAGTGTGAATATGTAACATTCATGACAATAAAGGTTAGAAAAAAGGACTTCTGTTCACACACATATACAAGTGTACATCTGTGTCTTTATTGTTGTCAAAGGCATGTTAACAAAACAGGTGAACACGTAACATCTCAGTTGCTAAGGACAAGTTGTGCGAGATGCACAAACTGAGGGAAGAGTTGATGAACACTTCCTATCATTCCACCTCCCTGACCAGTTGTTGTGTACACAGTCTTCACCTCTATGGTTGTTTGGTTCCCCTTTATTCCAAAAGAAAAACTTGGCTACACACCCATCAGACCACATCCATCTTCCTTCTTTGTGGATGTCACTGAGTCCGATCCATGTTGGTCCCTGAGCAAGGTCAACGTTTTTGATCAGGAGTTTGACAAAATCCTCTTCCCCTCTACTGTGGATAGACACCAGGTTGCCTCCCTGGGACAGACAGTGGAACTCTGCATCAGCCCAGGTCATCTTTGTGGCGATGTACTTGTAGCAGCGGCCGTAGAAGGAGAACCAGAATGAGGGACAGCTGCCACGCTTAAGCTCCATTGGACGCTCATCTGAAGAAGACACAGCACCCAGAGCCAGGCCCAACAGGAAGAGGAAAACCAGCATGATGATGTCACCGTCTCTGTCTGTTAAAGTTGCACTGAACCGTTGATGGAGATTGTGAAGCTTCAAGTGACAGGCTGCTTCTTTATATATGTGTGGGAATGTGACGTCATTGTCACGTGACGTGATCACATGACCGGTGACCGATAAAATGTAAGTTATAAAAGTTTTGCCGGCAGTTTCAGAAAACCTTTATCTCTTGGCTGCTGGACGCTCACCGTTATCTCCCTCAAGGTAGGACTCGCGGTTTTAAGGTGGTTATATGGTCTTTTAAATTAACCTATGGAAGTGTCTTAGTTCAGTTTGGATTTTATTAGGGCGAGGGCAAGATACGTTTTCCCATCATGGAGGGAAACTCTTCAGACATTCAAAGCACGAGACCTGGTCTGTTACAAACAATGTGTTTTCAATATGGTGTTTTAGTAACAGTTTTAAGCAACTTGTATGTGTTTTGCACAGTGTAGAAGTGCTCATAACCAGCCAAGCAACCCGGGAAACTGGCAATGGACGTTTGTTAACTTTATTCTAGCTTTTATTATTTATAACATCTGTTTTTGTGTTTAATAGAGCTGAGTATGACCGTTTCCCCTCCTGGATTGAGCCAGGAGGATCTATTGCTCTGTAAAAGTAAGCCTGGTTTTTAACCTTCTTTTAATGTTATATTGAATTGGTGTTTGAGCTGGCAACTATTATGTTGCGTTTGTTTAAAAAAAAAAAAACTACTGTCCTCTAGTGCTTTTTTTGTTTTATTTTCTGTCAATTGTTTTCTTGTGTGCAGATTGTGGGCAATATAATTGACTAAGTGTTTGTGTTACAGGTTCCTCTCCTCTCCCTCTGTGGGGGAACCTTGTCTGCGTAGTGTCAGTGGAGGGACTGCACGGTGGGACACTTTAAAAGGGTGAGTAAACTAACTCTCACTGTAATCATTTTGTAGGAGTTGTGCTTTGAGTAGTGCATGCTTTTGTTCTGTTTTTGTCCCTGACAGTTTGCAGGCATTGTGACCTAGTGGACCAGACCTGCCCATCTGAAGAGGGTAAACCCACAATGTAATAGTGTAAAGTATGTTCACCCTCTAACCCGTTGACAGCTGCTGAACATTGACATTTTAACATGTATATTTGTGAAATAAAGCTGCATTCTATTTGGTCATTCATGCCTCTGTCATTGTCCTTGTGAAGGGAAGCCCCAACATCTGCAAAACAACTTTGGATTTAGATTGAGGGTCCACAGGTTCCTCCATCCCCTTAACAGGAGTTGGTGTTGTCAGCTATTTAAAGGTGACCCCAGCCACAGTTACCACATATGCATCAGAGAGGGTGTTTTCACTGTTGGCCTAATATAATATTGGTCAACTGAACTTGGCAACACTAAACACAACCACACCTTAACATAAGCAAAAACAGACTACCTGCTCACCTGGAGATGTCGCACTAAACCTTCTATACATTTTTTACAAGGAGTAAATTATATTAAAGGAGAGGTGTCATGGCCATTTCCACTGATCATAATTCCATTGTTGAGGTATACTAGAATAGATTTATACTGTGCATTTTTCCAAACTCACATTGGTTTCTCATACAGCATCTCTGTAAACTACTTGTATTCACTGAATTTCACTCTCTGCCTTTAACGGCTCGTTGTAGCTCCAAAAGCTCCAGCCCCCACCCTCCCTGTGAGCACAGTGTGCTCTGATTGGTCGGGACGTTGTGAATCGCGCTGAGCTCCGTGGAGGTGTTGTTTCCTTGTTTAGGATACATAGCCAAACACAGCCAAACTCATCCTGAGCACACACAAACTCACATCCGAAGTAAAAACAATAAGTGTGGCTTGATATTGAGTAAGAAAAAGGTTGATAAACGCTGTGAGAATGGGTCTGCAGAGAGAATTTTGCCGTGATCCCAACGGTCTGTTATCAGCCTGCAGCCAGGGAGGAGAAATCAGCTGAGCTGCCTGCTCCCTGCACACAGATGTGTGTGTGTGTGTGAGGAAGTCTGTGGATTGGTCAATTTGGACCAATCAGCGGGGGCTTAACGTAACGGCTCCATGGATTGGTTCGTTCCGGGTACGGGTTGACATCATGCCGTACCCGGAATAATCAAATGGACAATGACGTATCTCCAACGAGGCGTTTTGGGGAGGTATTTTCTGTGTTAGAGTTTTACTCGCTATAGGGTGTACTTTGAGGGATTTGACTCTGCACACCGTTTACATGCATAAAAACCTTCATAACACACAAGGGGACGGGTAATAACCGGAAAAGCATGACACCTCTCCTTTAAATCAAATGTTGGCAGTGCTAAACATTGCCAGACCAAAACAAATGTTCTTTACAATCTCCAGAAGATGTTGGTCGGGAGGCATAATGGTCTGTTTTTAAAACGCTTTATAGCCAGTGAATACCAAGATGCCCTTCACACTAAAGGTTTGTAAACATTTAATTGAGCCACCACATTACCACAAATAATTCCCACCTTGTGCAAAATGAAGATGACCATTAGGCAAAAAAGACCATGAGCTTGTGTGGATATATCGTATAAAACATTTATTCATTTCAGGGGAGACTTATTGCTGTGTCTCGTTTTACTTTTCATTCACAACTGATCGTCGCACTGACTTGCTCCTCTGCTGCCCTCCAGTGGCCACAAGGCACAACAGGTACTTTTACATTACAGCATGTAGCTCCAAACCACAAAAGTATTTCCTTCAGAAAATGCACTTCACTAAAGCTCTAAACATGGCACATGAACCTGTCACCGCAACACAAATATAAACTATATACAATAAAATCAGGAATATAGTAGCTACAATATGAATGCTCTACAGTGAGCAGAGATGTATTTTTATGTGTGGGCATAATGTACAGGGTAATAGTCAAATGACTGCCACAAGGCCTTTCTATGACACTGAATAGGAACAGATCACAGCTCTGATTTAGATCTTGCTGACCAACAATTGCTGAATAGGTTTAACAAAAAATAATCTTTAAAATTAGACTGTTTCTCAGAATAAAGAAAAATGATGTGCCTCATGTAAAAAAATTCTGCATTCCAGACTGACTCTTTTCACTTTTTTAATGTTACACCAGCAAACCCTTGTACCCAGATGCTAAATTACTACTAAGCTACATTTGAAACATTCAGCACTTTTCTATAACTTAGAGGCTGCACTGTCTGCTGTTCAGCAACAGTTAAGGAGACTGGCTTTAAAGGGGAGATGTGCTGTCAAAGTGTATGAATAATGCATTGTTTCCTTGTTAATAAGTGAACCATTATGTTGCATATATCTCAAACACAAAAAGGACTTTCATACACAGTAAGTGTGCATCTGTGTCTTGTGGCCGAAGGCACGTTAACAGGTGAACAGTGACCTGGTTCAATAAGATGTCATATCTCAGTTGCTAAACACAAGCTATGCCAGATGCTCAAACTGAGTGATAAGAATAATAATGGAAATCATTCCATTTGTGATCAAAACCATAGTTGGTGTGGACAGTCTTCATTTCCATCATTGTTGGGCTCTCCTGAACTCTAAGAGACAAAGATAATGAACCCTAAATTGTTCCTGATTGCATGGCGATCAGTGTGAGTGTGAATCTTGTTCTCCCTTAGCAGGTGCATGCACTATATGAATGTGTGTATTCTGCTGTTCAACTTGACTTATGTCAAAGTAATTTGAGGGGTCACGAGAGTGGAAAAGTGCTATATAAATGCTGCCAATTTAACATATACACTATTTCTATCTCCTTCCCTCCTTCCTTTCCATGATCTTTGAACTGAAGCTGATACTCTAGTTTTGGGTTATTTCGGGAGTTTAAACTTGTAATACTGTTGTCCAGGGTGTGGTCCGTTTGCATTAGTCAATACACAGAAGGATTGGGCACTTGTTTCACCCGTTTATTTTCCAGTACCTCTTCAATCAAATAACAAAGGAAAAACCCAAGAAGTTTGACTTTAAAAAAAAAAGAAAAAAGAACCATCATATATACAAGTGTATATACATATATATATATATATATATATGTATATACATATATACATATATATATATATATATGTATATACATATATACATATATATATATATATATACATATATACATACACACACATATATACATATATACATATATTTGGAATAATGTAGATTGTTTTTGTTTCCCAACAAACATTCATTTTATATGAATCGCATTGAAATCTGAGACGCAGGTGATGATAAACATGTCTGTAACCATTCACCATGCTGCCACTTTGAGTTTCACGCCATGTGAAAGATAAACATAGTGTCCCTGTCCATTAAACACCTGTTGTTCCCATAACCAGAACATTTGTGATGGTACTTTTCCCAATGAATCATGTCGCTAAAGAGGCCAAGACTAGGCTCATCACTTTGAAGCATTCCTAAATCAAATCTGTGCAAAAGTTAATGTTGATTGAACAAAATAACACAAACAATAACCAAAGCAGGACTATACGGTCAACAGAAAAGAGCAAGTTCAGCCCGTTCGTCATCCACACACCAGGTGCCGTAAATACCTGACCACATCCATGTGATAATTGAATGATATACAACTGTGTGTGGTTAAAACAAATAAGTATAATACCAGGAATAATAAGCAACAGCAAAAATGTAATAGTACATCAATATTATTTACTAAATGTATTTATGATATTTTTTAAAAGGTGTAGAAATAATTCCTTTGATTAACCCCTGGAGCGACCAGTGTGAATATGTAACATTCATGACAATAAAGGTTAGAAAAAAGGACTTCTGTTCACACACATATACAAGTGTACATCTGTGTCTTTATTGTTGTCAAAGGCATGTTAACAAAACAGGTGAACACGTAACATCTCAGTTGCTAAGGACAAGTTGTGCGAGATGCACAAACTGAGGGAAAAGTTGATGAACACTTCCTATCATTCCACCTCCCTGACCAGTTGTTGTGTACACAGTCTTCACCTCTATGGTTGTTTGGTTCCCCTTTATTCCAAAAGAAAAACTTGGCTACACACCCATCAGACCACATCCATCTTCCTTCTTTGTGGATGTCACTGAGTCCGATCCATGTTGGTCCCTGAGCAAGTTCAACGTTTTTGATCAGGAGTTTGACAACATCCTCTTCCCCTCCACTGTGGATAGACACCAGGTTGCCTCCCTGGGACAGACAGTGGAACTCTGCATCAGCCCAGGTCATCTTTGTGGCGATGTACTTGTAGCAGCGGCCGTAGAAGGAGAACCAGAATGAGGGACAGCTGCCACGCACAAGCTCCATTGGACGCTCATCTGAAGAAGACACAGCACCCAGAGCCAGGCCCAACAGGAAAAGGAAAACCAGCATGATGATGTCACCGTCTCTGCAGTGGCGGCCGGTGGTCTTTTTTTTTGGTGGGGCTCTTGACGTACCGTAAGTGACCTACCCGGGGGGTCCGGGGGATTTCCCCCCGTAAATTTTTTTCGAGAAATGACCCCTTAAATGATGACTTCTGGTGATGTTAGAGGGGGGGGGGGAAAGGAGAAATCGAGGCTTAAAAATATGAGAAGACTGATCAATACCTCCATAATCTTCAGTGTGGAAAATATTATTTATCAACCTGAACATCTACTACTTTACCAGGAATTTGTGTTCTCAGAACTGGTCTGTTTTTTTCTTTCTTAAAACTGTTCATGTTTTATGAACCAACACCTTCACCAAGTAGCTTTACAGTGAACTGCATGTGAGATATAAAATTAATAGCATCTTTTCAGTAGCATTAATTATAAATATTTAAGTGGTTCAATACAAGTCACTACAGCATTTCAAACTGAACTGTGAATAAATGCAATTTAAAAAAAATAACCACAGCACAAAATGTCATAAATTGTGTTTTTTCTTTGTTTCTCTGAGGATTATTTACAAACAGGCTTATTTACATATAGCAATAACTCAGAAATGAAAAGCTACATCGTCTAACACGAACAACCAGTTAGCATAATGATAATATATGTGTTATGTACAATGTAACTGGCAAGGCTAGAGCAAGAAAGAACATAAAGTTTGCAAAAGGTTTAAATAACTTCAAGTATCTGTCTTCAGATTACGTGGAGGTTTTAGTCCGATGGGAAGCAGATTTAAGCGACACCGAAGATAAACCAAAAATGTGGTGGAGCTGCAAACCGTGTAGTGTTGCTGGGACAGAACAGGAGCTATAACCGTTGGAAAATACATCACAGACAATGCAACAAACGTGGAGACAGAACAATCACTTCTGTGATAAATGCCCACTTATTAATAAACTTCTAACAACCATGGGAAACCTCCTCTCTACATATAAAGTGATATCCAAGCATGGGAAACAAAAGACAAGCATTTACCTGTTTGCATCCAGCTAGCCAAGCCTTTCTTGTGTACCAGCTACTTGTGAAGCCTCGTGTATAAATGTTGTCTTTTTCACGAGATTGCTGCGATATATTCAAATCGGGTTGGTCCGGTGCAAGGTCTTTAAGCAACAATTTATCTGCCAAACTTCTCCTTTCGAAAGGATTGGAGATTAGCTCTTGAACAGAATTAGGCCGGGACCGAGGTCCGGAGACTCCACCTGCACACGAAGCCATCCTCATCAACTACTGCGTCAACCGGATACGAGTCACTGTCCAAACTACTCACAGACTGCACTGGGCGCTGACATTGGCGCCCGGTGACCGTCATCTTTGACGACGCTGATTGGCTGAAATTATATTTTCGCGGCATAGTTTACACGTTACAGATAGCAACAGTCAGCTGCTGGTGGCTGCTGCTGCACTGGTTGAAGGCTCCTCTCTTAGCGCCCAGACGAGAGAAGGTGCATGGGCAAGGCCAGGCAGGAAACATGTGACTTATCAGTAACTTTAGACATCGTAACACAATTTTAAACGAGATTTTATTGTAGATTATACATTTTACTGATACCAATTATATAATATTGACCTTGTTCATTAAAAATAAAAATAAAAACATATATATTTTTTTAAACATATTTTTTTTTTTTAATTTTAATTTTAATTATTATTATTTTTTTTTTTTTTCAATATGGGAAGAGGTGGGGCGGCGCCCCTAGCGCCCCTCTGGACCGGCCGCCACTGTGTCTCTGTCTGTTAAAGTTGCACTGAACCGTTGATGGAGATTGTGAAGCTTCAAGTGACAGGCTGCTTCTTTATATATGTGTGGGAATGTGACGTCATTGTCACGTGACGTGATCACATGACCGGTGACCGATAAAATGTAAGTTATAAAAGTTTTGCCGGCAGTTTCAGAAAACCTTTATCTCTTGGCTGCTGGACGCTCACCGTTATCTCCCTCAAGGTAGGACTCGCGGTTTTAAGGTGGTTATATGGTCTTTTAAATTAACCTATGGAAGTGTCTCAGTTCAGTTTGGATTTTATTAGGGCGAGGGCAAGATACGTTTTCCCATCATGGAGGGAAACTCTTCAGACATTCAAAGCACGAGACCTGGTCTGTTACAAACAATGTGTTTTCAATATGGTGTTTTAGTAACAGTTTTAATCGTTTTTAAGCAACTTGTACGTGTTTTGCACAGTGTAGAAGTGCTCATAACCAGCCAAGCAACCCGGGAAACTGGCAATGGACGTTTGTTAACTTTATTCTAGCTTTTATTATTTATAACATCTGTTTTTGTGTTTAATAGAGCTGAGTATGACCGTTTCCCCTCCTGGATTGAGCCAGGAGGATCTATTGCTCTGTAAAAGTAAGCCTGGTTTTTAACCTTCTTTTAATGTTATATTGAATTGGTGTTTGAGCTGGCAACTATTATGTTGCGTTTGTTTAAAAAAAAAAAAACTACTGTCCTCTAGTGCTTTTTTTGTTTTATTTTCTGTCAATTGTTTTCTTGTGTGCAGATTGTGGGCAATATAATTGACTAAGTGTTTGTGTTACAGGTTCCTCTCCTCTCCCTCTGTGGGGGAACCTTGTCTGCATAGTGTCAGTGGAGGGACTGCACGGTGGGACACTTTAAAAGGGTGAGTAAACTAACTCTCACTGTAATCATTTTGTAGGAGTTGTGCTTTGAGTAGTGCGTGCTTTTGTTCTGTTTTTGTCCCTGACAGTTTGCAGGCATTGTGACCTAGTGGACCAGACCTGCCCATCTGAAGAGGGTAAACCCACAATGTAATAGTGTAAAGTATGTTCACCCTCTAACCCGTTGACAGCTGCTGAACATTGACATTTTAACATGTATATTTGTGAAATAAAGCTGCATTCTATTTGGTCATTCATGCCTCTGTCATTGTCCTTGTGAAGGGAAGCCCCAACATCTGCAAAACAACTTTGGATTTAGATTGAGGGTCCACAGGTTCCTCCATCCCCTTAACAGGAGTTGGTGTTGTCAGCTATTTAAAGGTGACCCCAGCCACAGTTACCACATATGCATCAGAGAGGGTGTTTTCACTGTTGGCCTAATATAATATTGGTCAACTGAACTTGGCAACACTAAACACAACCACACCTTAACATAAGCAAAAACAGACTACCTGCTCACCTGGAGATGTCGCACTAAACCTTCTATACATTTTTTACAAGGAGTCAATTATATTAAAGGAGAGGTGTCATGGCCATTTCCACTGATCATAATTCCATTGTTGAGGTATACTAGAATAGATTTATACTGTGCATTTTTCCAAACTCACATTGGTTTCTCATACAGCATCTCTGTAAACTACTTGTATTCACTGAATTTCACTCTCTGCCTTTAACGGCTCGTTGTAGCTCCAAAAGCTCCAGCCCCCACCCTCCCTGTGAGCACAGTGTGCTCTGATTGGTCGGGACGTTGTGAATCGCGCTGAGCTCCGTGGAGGTGTTGTTTCCTTGTTTAGGATACACAGCCAAACTCATCCTGAGCACACACAAACTCACATCCGAAGTAAAAACAATAAGTGTGGCTTGATATTGAGTAAGAAAAAGGTTGATAAACGCTGTGAGAATGGGTCTGCAGAGAGAATTTTGCCGTGATCCCAACGGTCTGTTATCAGCCTGCAGCCAGGGAGGAGAAATCAGCTGAGCTGCCTGCTCCCTGCACACAGATGTGTGTGTGTGTGTGAGGAAGTCCGTGGATTGGTCAATTTGGACCAATCAGCGGGGGCTTAACGTAACGGCTCCACGGATTGGTCCATTTCGTTCCGGGTACGGGTTGACATCATGCCGTACCCGGAAGAATCAAATGGACAATGACGTATCTCCAACGAGGCGTTTTGGGGAGGTATTTTCTGTGTTAGAGTTTTACTCGCTATAGGGTGTACTTTGAGGGATTTGACTCTGCACACCGTTTACATGCATAAAAACCTTCATAACACACAAGGGGACGGGTAATAACCGGAAAAGCATGACCCCTCTCCTTTAAATCAAATGTTGGCAGTGCTAAACATTGCCAGACCAAAACAAATGTTCTTTACAATCTCCAGAAGATGTTGGTCGGGAGGGATAATGGTCTGTTTTTAAAACGCTTTATAGCCAGTGAATACCAAGATGCCCATCACACTAAAGGTTTGTAAACATTTAATTGAGCCACCACATTGCCACAAATAATTCCCACCTTGTGCAAAATGAAGATGAACATTAGGCAAAAAAGACCATGAGCTTGTGTGGATATATCGTATAAAACATTTATTCATTTCAGGGGAGACTTATTGCTGTGTCTCGTTTTACTTTTCATTCACAACTGATCGTCACACTGACTTGCTCCTCTGCTGCCCTCCAGTGGCCACAAGGCACAACAGGTACTTTTACATTACAGCATGTAGCTCCAAACCACAAAAGTATTTCCTTCAGAAAATGCACTTCACTAAAGCTCTAAACATGGCACATGAACCTGTCACCGCAACACAAATATAAACTATATACAATCAAATCAGGAATATAGTAGCTACAATATGAATGCTCTACAGTGAGCAGAGATGTATTTTTATGTGTGGGCATAATGTACAGGGTAATAGTCAAATGACTGCCACAAGGCCTTTCTATGACACTGAATAGGAACAGATCACAGCTCTGATTTAGTAGATCTTGCTGACCAACAATTGCTGAATAGGTTTAACAAAAAATAATCTTTAAAATTAGACTGTTTCTCAGAATAAAGAAAAATGATGTGCCTCATGTAAAAAAATTCTGCATTCCAGACTGACTCTTTTCACTTTTTTAATGTTACACCAGCAAACCCTTGTACCCAGATGCTAAATTACTACTAAGCTACATTTGAAACATTCAGCACTTTTCTATAACTTTGAGGCTGCACTGTCTGCTGTTCAGCAACAGTTAAGGAGACTGGCTTTAAAGGGGAGATGTGCTGTCAACGTGTATGAATAATGCATTGT